CCACCAGCTGTTCGTGTAATTGGTGCTTTTGAGCCTCGGAGTCGTGCCATTTGCCATTTAAGACTTGGATTTTGGACTGTAGAGCCGCACACTGTCCGCGTCGTGAGTTTGCGAAAATTAAAAAATCAAACCCATAACATACCTCAGTTTGCACCTTCTGACATCGTATATACGCGTCCCCTCCAGAGCAGTGAGAACTGCTACCCAGGCTGACAAATTTAGTCACTAGATTTTGAGTGGCTTGCATATTGTCTCCCAAAGCCGACACAAGGTCTGGAGCATCATCATCTGATAGGTGTGACGAGATGTCGAATATATCTAGCGTTCTATTCAGCTGCGCTTGCGAGAATGGAGCCAAGAGGAAGCGGACCTCGAGTGTTAGGAGGGTGTTGTGGCAAGTCCTCGGGCTTTGCCACTAGTCGGATCGCTTCTACCAACTGGAAACGTCGTCGGAATCAGCGTCATAGTAAAGAATGGGACACGAACTTGGGCCCAACACGCCGCCATTGCGGCCAGACCGGCCTCGCAGGTGGTTTTCCGTTTCTCCAGTTCCGCTACGCGACTCCGGCTTCGGTCGTATTCTCGCGAGTAGTGTCGCATCCGCCTGAAGATGGCTTCCTTGCGGAACATCTACGGTGGGTTATAATGGATCTGAGAGGCTGAGAGATAACCGCGAAATACCTCAAGGTTATCAAGGTCTGAAGGCTCTTCATGCTCGGAGGGAGAGCCATTCACATATGGAGCACCATTTGCGGCGGAGAGTATTCGTTTTTTGGACACGGATACGTCTGCTTCGTGTGGATGGGGTCGCTTTTTGGACTCCATGAAGGAGAAGGAGGAAACGATGGGTGATGGATATTCAAAGCCACCAAGGACAAAGTCGCGCCAATAAATAATCACAAACTCAATTCATAATTAATTCATTTACTTGCTATATTCCTTCGGCAGTTTCAATCCCACCGCTCTCTCCAGCTCAACAATCTCGCAATCCGCCGACCCTCCGTCCCCGATCTGTGTCTCGACGCACGCAAAATCCATAGCCTGAAAATTATCGGCTGAATGGTCAGGAACAAGAGAGCTGATGCCACCAACCTTCCCAAGCACCGTCATGGGTTGATCTGCCCGAAAGAGTTTAGGTTGCGATGCACAATGATCAAGATCTCCAATACTCACGCCAGACCGCCGTGTTGTACACGATTCCTTGTGAAGCGTTCGCAACGAACGCCCTCACCGTTTTCGCATCTGGCTGACCGTTCGCCCCGTCCTTCGCGACTACCACAAGATATGCACACCCGGGGTCCGCCAAGCCCTCACCCGGTCCCTTTCCCATGGGTATAAAGGCTTGGTTAGTGAATGGGTGGCGCTCCATTATTTTCAAGTCAGCAGTGCCATCGCTGGAAATGCCTTCCAGAGGATTGCATCGATAGACCGAGATCCCCGCGGTGGCTCCGGCTTCTACGGCATACGACGACGCAACCAAAGATAACTTGTGGAACTTGCTGGCGGACCCCTGGTTAGCCGGCGTGATTTTGATGCCTTTCGGAGCCGCGTTATGGTCCCCGTACGCTTGGATGACCTGCCCGAAAGGTGCGAATCCTTCCGGCGTCAGAGGAAGTACGGGGATTGAAATCCTGTTGACAGACGAAGCTATAGAAGCAGGAACTGCTTCCGCAGATCCCACTTGCTCAATTGTATTCGAAAAAAATGCGCTGCCTTCGCCTGTCCCGAGGATCCGCACCCGTTTGATTCCGCCGTCTGGATGAATCGTAACCTTGATGTGTGTGTACCGCTGTCCTTCCACATTTTCTAGTTGGAAATAATGCTGTCTATGCGGTCCGAGTTTGGTGCGAGGCAGAATCACCGTCCACTCGTGATCCTCTCCGCCGCTTGTACCAGCCCAATCGGCGTTACCTGAAATCGCCAGCGCATGCAACTCGCAACTTTCAGGGAAATTTCCTTTGAAGTGTGCCGTGTCAATTTCCACTTGCTGGAGAACACCGGGCGCACCACTTCAATGCGTTTCATGAGCCAGAATCAAGTCAGAGGAGCAAAAACTCACAGTTTGATGATCGCCCAATCTTTGTGGCCCTTCTCCCTGCTTCGCTTCGTCTCCCATCCGTCTCCCATATCCTTCCCACGACCAGGAAGGATAAGGTTTGACCCAACGCCAAAGTGCTGGTCGGACGTGAATTCCACACGCCCGCCCGCAAACACGTGTGCGAGGTCGAAGACCTCTGCAGGGTCCTCTGGGTGTACCGCGATGACTTGCCCGTAAACCCTGAAGCGTGCCTAGACGGTTTTCATAATTCAACATTTCAGCCGCTGCACAGATTCAGAACGTACGATCCCTCCATCTGGATACATATTAAGCTTGACGAAATTCACGCCAGTAGTCTCTGGGATACGGAACAGATGGCGAGAATTCGGGTCCATGGCTTGTTTGGGAAGGACTTCGACCCACTGCACCACTCAATAAGCGGTTCGAAACCAATCCACACATTCAACGCACTCTGGAGTCCTCTTTCCCTGGTTCTTCTGATACCGCGCCAGAAAGAACGTCGACCGAAATCTCTGGCGCCTCGTTTCCTATAATGAGGCGTTAGCAAGAACACGAGAGGTGCAAAGGGCCGGCTGGACCGTTGAAGTGCGAAGTATCGATATCAAATCCAGAAACAGCGCCCGATGTGCCTAGCTGGATAATACACCTGCAACGGTTTCTTCAGGCGAACATCAACATATGGCGTGCTTATCTCACCAGTCGTACGCTGGATTGTGCCGCCTGCTCTCCCATCCGCTGTATAGCGCACCCTTCGGGCCGAACTGACCTTTCAGGCTCGGTGCGGGCTAGTCGGAACAAGCTAGGTAATCACATATCGCAGTGGTATGAAAGAAATACCTCGATAAGAAGGAGGTGGAACGCCTCGGCGAAGAAATCATCCGAGACGGAGACCACACGACCACCAAGGGCAACGCTGGAAAGTTCTAGCGTTGATTTAGAGGCAGCCGGATATGAAGTGATAGCGAAATACCAGTGAGGGCCGAAAATTCCTCTGCGAACGCGTCCAGGGGTACTCGTCGAAAGGCCATCGATGGAGATGAAAGGAGATGCTAAGCGACGATTGGATTCCGAGACAATCACGTGGTTGGGGATTGTGTGAGCACGCGAGCCAGCATAGGGCACAAAATCGCTCGATAACGAAGGGCGTACAACGTACGCGCGTACGTATCGCAATGTAAAGGATTTGGGCACCAGAAGATATAGATAAGAGCAGCATGGTTGATGTCGGAGCAGACAGGAAGCACGTTTCCAAAGAATAGTTGCAGTATCTATGTGTTCAAGTTCCGCGTATCTGAGGCAGCAGGTGAAGTCCAGGCACCGTGGATCAGAAGCTACGACGCAGAACGATTTATGGCCCTTGATACGAATTGCTGACCAGAAGATTCATTGCAAAAAGCTTCAAGGTCTTCTCGGAGCTCATCACGTCCCAAATCGCTGGGCTAGAGCATCTGAATAACCTCGCCGGTGGGGACGTCAGAGGAGCTAGGATAGAGCTCAAAGCGAAAATTTTGAATGGCTTCGTCGGTTGAACTTCAATCTCCGGATAAGGCTCGATGAAGTGTGGCCGAGACACATCTAGCGCTGGGTAACGGAAGGTCGCATACCACAAGGTCCCGCACACCTCGCGTTACGGGCAAAGGAGTGGGAGACTGTAGGCGTGGTGGGAGCAAAAATTGAGCGTGGTACGTAATGCGGAACGACAAATCGTGATGGCTACATAACACCAAACAAAGTAAAGCTTCAAGTTCAACCTCTACGTGGAACTCTCTGCGTCGTTGTAGAATCCTGCGACCGTACTGTCAGTCCGTGACCCGCTGGGCTCAGTGTTCGAAGGTCTTTGGGTCCCTCTTGCTCGCTGCAGCGGTCTGCCCCTCAGCGTGTCCAATGTTCAGGGACCTTAGGGATCACACTTGCCACTAGCTCTCAATTTTATGGTAACCACTGGGAACTCATTCCACAACATCCTCCGAGTCTTTTTTTGTGCAAGCCCTCACGCTCTGTATCAATCTGCCAATTTACTATTCGCAATGTCTTCAGAGCTGTTAACAACGTCGACATTTCATTACACCATAATTTGCAGTCCATTGTTCGAGTCCCCGGATCCTTGGCTCAGCACTCCTCGGAGGAGGAACAAAGGTTACGGTCAAAGCAATCGTTACGGGCACTGCTCGCAGTACACACAACAATTTCTAGTTCCTGTTTCAGCTTATTCTTAAATTCTTCACAGACTCCCAGTAAGCCTGACTGCAATGATAGTACTCCATAAAATGAGGATTCATCCCTCCAACAATCCTTGTTGGGTTCTTTTCTATCTTTTCTACCTCTGACTTTGCCAGGCATTTTTCTTATTCACTTCTCACCACCCATTTATTTACGGTTTTCTCTACTCGTGCTTTTGTGCACCTTCTTTCACCTTGTTGTCTTTCTTAGCCTTTGCTCGTGTGTCATCACTGCACCATTTAGTAACTGCAACTGCCAAGAGCCACCTTGCATCTGCAATGGTGCATTAGGTTCCAACTAGATTCTAGGTGTCTCAGCGAATACCCAATCCTTCAAGTTTATGTACTGCAAGCAGGACTGACTGCACAGTGTCCCTCGCCACAGTCAGTACCAGAACCTCCAACCTTTTTTATTCTAATGTGAGCTGAATCTGTGCAAGTTATTACAGGCCAGTGGAGCCACATGCTGTTAGATCCATTGACCAGGGATGATGGGAGCTTGGAACAGCTTCCAGGTGATTAAAATTGGTAATACAAGTTGTACAGATGATTTTGGTTTTGTATGGTCTATGGTTAGCCAACTGAGCCATGTTCAACACCCAGGCCTGTGAGGAAGGTTGCTGCATGTGGAACGCTGTGAAAAGATCAAGCAAGTCCAATAAATTTCTCCAAGTCTTGTACATACCTCCAAGGAACATGAAAATACCCTTGCTCTCTTCATGTCCGAATTGGTGTAGGGGTTAACATTGCCGCCTCTCATGCTTATGTAATAAGCGTAACTTGAAACCGCGGCAGCCCGGGGTTCGATTCCCCGATTCGGAATTTTTGCCGTCGTTTTGTACCGAGTTTGAGGCCAGTGTCCAGATTTTGGCCATCAACAGGTTAATTTTGAGAAGCTGCTTATTGAGGTCACACCAGAAATACCCAAACTTTGGTTCACTCGAGACGTAACTCAGAATGTGTGAAATTTCACGTTGGCTGAAATTCAAGTTGATTACAACTGTCCCTTAAACCGATAAGACATGAAGGGCCAGCAAGTGGCAGGGCCCGTTACCTGGATGAGCATTCAATTATTCAATAGTTGTTAGGCCCCTGCTTGATATTCATTCAGCATTTCATGCAGTACAAGCTTGTGAATGAGGCTATTGAGTGGGCTGTGGCCAAAGTGGCAGGCTAAAAGACGAGAGATTACAAGAGAAGGTGAATGGAGGACAAAGGCAAATGAACAGCTGAGGTCAAAGTGCAACAGTCAAAGCACAAAAATCATTAGATGTGAGACTGATTGAACAAGAACACAAAACCAGCACAGCTCTCCCAAATCTTGCACAAGGGGGGATTGGGATTAAAAAATTGGATATAGGGAGGGGGGGGGGGCTCCAGGTCACTGAAAAAAACTTTTTGGTACATAAAGTTTAGAAGCTCAAAACAGCTAATAGAGTATGAGGGAGGTGTTAATTGGTTGTAAGAATGACATATAAGTGTCCAGGGAGTGTATACAGAAGATTTATCACTCTGAGCCCACACCTTCCGTGATCTAAGCCAGAGTGAAGCCAAGTGTAGTTGATTCTGGGGTCAGAAATCATTGAGCTGTTGGAGTGCAGAGTGTTTAGATTTATCACTGACACTCATTAGATGGTAGAAAAAATCATGATTTATTTTAAGGAGGTGGTTGGAGGTGAGTTGAAGAGTGGTGGCTGGAGCGGGAAAAGCAGCCCAGCCTAGGGGTGGGAAACTCCTTCCCTATAAGGCAGGAGAGGGGGGGGGGGGGTCAGCTTGGGGCTGAAAAAAACTTTCCGACCCTATATCCGATTTTCGAATCCCAACTTCCCCTTGATCTTGCAAATATCTTTTTCAAGAAAAAAAAATCCCTAAGACCCACTACCTAAGGGCAGCCAGAATAGAATAAGTTTAACATGCAGCTGCACCAAAATACATTTGAAATCTAGAACCTTACCTCAAGTCAATGGAAACTTGTAACGTGAAATATTAGTTTCAGCATGAGAAACAGTTCCCCCTGCAACCCTAGATATCAGTTGAGCTGAAATCAGACCTAAAAACCTTGAGTTTCAAATTACATTTCAGTTCACTGGAAAGTTTCAGGGGAACCCCTCAACCGGCTGCTCCTCCATCACTCTGTCCAGCTTTCCATCTGGAAACTCCTCCAGCACATCTGTCTGCCTGGCATGGGCCCGGAACTTCACCCTCTGTCCCTCTGGCCTCTGTTTCGTCTCCTTCCATTCTCTCCAGTCGCTCGCACTGGCATGTGTTATGCAGCCAGGCCCAGGATCATTGCAGATCCCCTTGGACACGTGCTACTGGCTAGTACCTATTAGTTTATAGACCTTCACCTAGCATGGGAATCCTCATCCTTTCTTCTCTTCGGATTCTCCCTGCTAGGTCCATATTACTTGCTCTGTATTTAGTACTGCCTATTACAGCTAATTTCAGAACTTAGGGCACGGATCATTATTATTTTCTTCTTCTACTATCCTAAAAAAACAGCTCCACAATAAATCGTCCATATCTGGCCCATCCCTGAGCCAATATAAATAATTTTATTACCGTTCGAACCGCGCCGTCGAGGCGCATCTCCCCATACCCAAACATTTTATGAAATTCGTACTTTTATTTTTTGCCCTTGCCTGAGCCATACCTGTCGTTCTTCGCACCCAGGGCCAATCTCAGACCTCGAGGATGGGCCTACAGCATGCCTAACATCCATATCAGTGTGCTGAGGGTAGGTTAGAAGGTTGTTGACACACCTTGCATGTATGACGGGTGTGCGCGTCAGCACCTAATGATATTGGCTGGAATCCTGCATGCCGCGCCCAATCTGAGGTTGAGAATATATCCAGAGCATGCCTAACATGCATATAGGTGTGTTGGAGTGAGATGGAAGGTTGCAGGCGGGGCTGCAACTGCGTAGCAACGTTAGGATGTGACAAACCATTGAAAATGTCTTGCTCAGAAGGAAACTCAAGAACTGCTGGGCTTTTTTGTGGACAGTGGCGGTATGTAATATTTTGAAATGCACCTAGCTCATCCTCTTCATATTTAACCATGTCAATGGTGTCTTTGGGGTTCAGTGGTGAGTCAGTCGCATTGGCAGCATTTTCTTGTATATCAAAAGCTATGAACACCAATTGAGTGGTGGATGTGAAGAGTAAAAGTGCGTAGAAGCCTTGGGTGGCTGGGGCAAAGAGTTGAGTCACGTTGTGCGTCTAGATCTGGTGCAGGTCATGGTGGTCAGGAGCAAAGGCCGTATTTGGTAACATGCCGTCACACACGCCATACGCGACGACACCCTTCTACCTTGCTCTCGACATACTTATATGCATGCTAGGCATGCTGTAGGCCAATCCTTGACATCTCAAATTGGCCCTGGGTGCGGAGAACAACAGGTATGGTTCAGAAAAAGGTGAAAAAATCAAAATGTGAATTTCATGAAAGTTTTAATACAAGGATGTGTGCCTCGACGGCACGGTTCTAACACTAATAAAATTATGCATATCGGCCCAAGGATGAGTGAGATATGAAAGATTTACAGCAGAGCGGTTTTTTCGTTAGTAGAAGAGAATATTTGATCCACACCCTAAGTTTCACAATTAGCTGTAAACTTCTTCAGATTCCAGCACTAGTTTCCATGCCTCTGCGCTGAGCTTAAGGTTGCCCTTACAGAAAGTCAGAATTTCAGCCAAGGTCCAATCTTGACTGAAATCTCAAGTTTTGGATGAGCTGGCATGAAAGCTGAAACTTGAAGTTGTGGGTTCCAGTTTCAGTGCAACTGGAATTCTGAATATTGGGTGCACCTTTTCTAAAACTGAAATCAAGAGTTTTGGTTCAGGATTCTGTGTAAGGAATCCCTTTTATATCCATGGACTCGTGAATCCCTATCTATAATTTTCGTGATATTACCTATGTTTAGCCTCGGACTTATCGCTTACGGTTGCTACATACACGTAATCAACTGTAAGTAGTCACGTGTATTCAACTACACTTACTTCTGAACTATCATCACCACTTGTTTTCTTCAACGGCGTCGAGTAACTCCGAGTTGAGAGAGAACCGAGTGGCCCCTACAACTAGTACGAATACATTCCTCGCTACGACTAACAATTACGAATAGGTCGACTTGACGTATCTCCTCGTATCTCACTTCCCATGAACTTTTGAGGAAGGCAGCGAAGGGTCTTTGGGAGCACAAAGTTTCGGCTTTCGACCCTTAGCTTTGGAGTTGGACTGTCAAGTCCTTGAAGGTCATTCCCACAAACCAGTCTCGACTACTAGCTAGACTCTGCAGAAAAGCCTACCGTAAGAGCATCAAGGCTTACAAAGTGGACACTGTAGGAGCTGCGGCCTGGCTAGTTCACGAAGAGACTATCACCTGCCGCCGTATAGGGCGCGAGGTACCTTCTTCTCTCAACTGGATTCACATCGCTCTCGCTTGTTCGCTCCCACTCGAGCGTCCAGAGCCAAGGCAGTCGACTGGGATTCAGAAGAGTCGGTAGTAAACCCCTCGGGAGTTTCTTCACGTTCGGTATCTCGATCTGTATCCCCTGTGAAGAAGGAACATATACTTCACGAAGGAGAGGAAGTGTCTCTCTCATTCCTTCCAAACCGTCTAGATCTCGACAGTTAGCCCCAGTTGGCAGAGGGAAAACTCTGATACCGGCTGTAACTTTGGACGTTTCCCCCAAGTTTCCTTTCGACGAAACTATACCTCTTAAAACCCCAGTTAGGAGAGCTTTGACAAGAACTGCGGGTCTCGACTGGGATTATCCATTATCACCTATGTCGACGGTGACTGCCGTTCACCCTTCCCCCGGTTTGGCCACGGGTTCTGAGACTACATCAGGAGGAATGGAAAGAGGATTCGCTCTCTCACCCATGGGTGATTTGGTCCGCGAATATAATAATAGTTCAGATTCGGAGTTGTCACTCTTCCGGCGTGTCACCACCCTAGCTAGCAAGGTGTCATTCAATATTTCAGAGATCTTCAATAGAGGGACCAGCTCCGATCTTTCGAGACAAGATTCCGGACTGTCTCAATTTTGTCTGGAACCTGGTTTCCTTATTCGAACTGAAAGAACCTTGAAGGAGATGCAAGAAATACTATCTCAAGCTGCTAGTTTGGTGGAGGGAAGAAATTCGTGTTTTTGTATTGATCCTCATCGTATTCTGGTCACGGTGCTTCGTAATGCTAATTCCCTAGGTGAGATGCAAGCATCGTGGGTAGCGCTATCAGAAAGATTGAATCTAGCGCATCGGAACTTTGAGAAATATCAACGGGAATTTCAAGCATTACCGGAGGCTGGAGTTCTACTCTCACCTGTATCGACTGAACCGGAACTGTATTCTATTTTTCCCCGAAACGCGGACCCAGCATCGAACATCAATTATCTCTATGTGCAGATCCCGCATCACCACAAACAACGGCCTACGGGATATTCACCACATACCGATATGGTTCATGATCACATAGAGGTTCCTGGATATCTTAAGAGAGCGTTCCCCAATCGGTTGCCAGAACCGCGACCGTCTAGGGTTTATTACTCAGTGGACGGAGAGAGAAGGGAGAATACTCTTCCGGAAAATTCGAGCTACAGAAGCTCGACGGAATTCGTAACTCCTCCTCTTTCTAGAGTTGACAAAGGCAAGAATCGAGCTCGGAGTCGTACACCTCCTCCCACCATAGAAGAAGTAGAAGATGAAGATGACGTACGGGATCGGAATCGAGGGAAGGAATCGTCCAAGTTGTCCAAGTCTAGTTCCCCCAGTTCTTCGTATTGGGAGAAGCCCAGTTCCACCTCGGGCATTTTGGG